CGTCTGTCTCTGTGTGTGTGTCTGTCTCTGTGTGTGTCTGTCTCTGTCTGTCTCTGTGTGTGTGTCTGTGTCTCTGTCTCTGTCTCTGTGTGTGTGTCTCTGTGTGTGCTCTGTCTGTGTGTGTCGTCTGTCTCTGTGTGTGCTGTCTGTGTCTGTCTCTGTGTGCGCGTCTGTCTCTGTGTGCGCGTCTGTCTCTGTGTGTGTCGTCTGTCTGTGTGCTCTGTGTGTGTCGTCGTCTGTCTCTGTGTGTGCGTCGTCTGTCTCTGTGTGCGCGTCTGTCTCTGTGTGTGTGTCTGTCTCTGTGTGTGTGTGTCATCTGTCTTCTGTGTGCGCGTCTGTCTCTGTGTGCGCGTCTGTCTCTGTGTGTGTGCGTCTGTCTCTGTGTGCGCGTCTGTCTCTGTGTGTGTGCGTCTGTCTCTGTGTGTGCGTGTCTGTCTCTGTGTGTGTGCGTCTGTCTCTGTGTGTGTGTGTCTGTCTCTGTCTGTGTGCGCGTCTGTCTCTGTGTGCGCGTCTGTCTCTGTGTGCGTGTCTGTCTCTGTGTGTGTGCGTCTGTGTCTGTGTGTGTGTGTCTGTGTCTGTGTGTCTGTGTCTGTGTGTGTGCGCGTCTGTCTCTGTGTGTGTGCGTCTGTCTCTGTGTGTGTGTGTCTGTCTCTGTGTGTGTCTGTCTCTGTGTGTGTGTGCGTCTGTCTCTGTGTGCGCGTCTGTCTCTGTGTGTGTGTCTGTCTCTGTGTGTGTGCGTCTGTCTCTGTTTGTGTGTGTCTCTGTCTCTGTGTGTGTCTGTCTCTGTGTGTGTGTGCGTCTGTCTCTGTGTGCGCGTCTGTCTCTGTGTGTGTCTGTGTGTGCTGTCTCTGTGTGTGTGTGTCTGTGTCTGTGTGTGTGTCTCTGTGTGTGTGCGTCTGTGTCTCTGTGTGTGTGTCTGTGTGTGTGTCTGTGTGTGTGTCTGTCTCTGTGTGCGCGTCTGTCTCTGTGTGCGCGTCTGTCTGTCTGTGTGTGTGTGTCTCTGTGTGTGTCTCTGTGTGTGTGTGTGTCTGTGTCTGTCTCTGTGTGTGTGTGTCTGTCTCTGTGTGTGTGTCGTCGTCTGTCTCTGTGTGTGTGTGTCTGTGTGTGTGTCTGTGTCTCTGTGTGTGTGCGTCTGTCTCTGTGTGTGTGTCTGTGTGTGTGTCTGTCTCTGTGTGCGCGTCTGTCTCTGTGTGTGCGTCTGTCTCTGTGTGTGCGTCTGTGCTGTGTGTCTGTGTGTGTGTCTCTGTGTGTGTGCGTCTGTCTCTGTGTGTGTGTGTGTGTGTCTGTGTGTGTGTCTGTGTCTGTGTGTGTGTCTGTCTCTGTGTGTGTGTCTGTTTCTGTGTGTGTGTGTCTGTCTCTGTGTGTGTGCGTCTGTTTCTGTGTGTGCGTCTGTTTTTTCCTGATATGGTCCAGCTCTATGTTGAACAGACATAGTCTGGTGGTACAAACAGTATCAAGTCTTTTTGTGAAAAGGGAGTTTGAATTGTGACAAAACTGTTTAGATCAAATGAAAAGATGATTTGTTAAAGTCGTGTTTTTCTGTTGTGGTGCTACAATAGAAATATTTCCTCAAATATGTGAGTTCCACTGTGAAAAACTGTTAATGTAGTGAATACTAAACTGTAGCGGTTCAAGTTTATTCCTCACTTTGTTCACACATTAGAGCGTCCTAATGAGTTAGGACATTACATCAACAACATCAGCATGCTAACCACACACTACTGTTATTATTAAATACATTTAAGACAAACACAAACACACAAAAGGAAACATGAGATTTGGTATGAATTGTTTATTGTTTTTGTTTATTTTATTCTTTAGTTTATTTATTTATTTAAATAATAAATAAACCAAAAAAATATATATTTTTTTGTAAAATTGTTTATTTGTTTTTGAGAAGTTAATGCATTTAAACACATTTCAACAGAAACGTTCTTTCCACTGAAATGGCATTAAATACATCTTATCAGTTGATGGTCTAAACTAATGAAACACCCTCCTCAGCCTCCAGAAGAAGTGTGACAGGGTGGACTTGCGGCGCGTGTGGAAGGCTCTCAGCTCGCTGTTGACATGGGTCACAACTGCTGCCTCAAAACGTGCAGTATCTTGTGCTGAAGCCGCCCTAAAGAGGGCGCAAGACGAGCCATACTGCACTTTTAGTTGTTTGGCCACTTTTTTGCCAATTTTCTTCAAATCTTTAAGGCTGATCTCATCATCTCCAACTACAACGATGTGCTCCTGGATCTTTTGGTGTAACTCAGCAGCCATCAGGATGTGATCCTGTTTGGTTATTTTGGCCATTTTGAAAATGCGTTTGACACAAGCCTCTGTGAGGATGTGGGACACTCCATGTCCACAGGAGGGAGCAGGTGGGCTGATCGTCTCTGTTTTGGTTTCCAGAGGAGAGGACATTTCGTCTGTTTGTTGATGCAGGGTGTGGTCTGGTGGACTCACTTCCCTCTCGGCCTCTGGCTCATGAGCAGTGACACTTGGTGCTGGTGAAGTGCAGCTCTGGTGCTCTTCAGGCAGAGCTGGACTCAGGCTGCAGACATCTTCACTCTGCTCTTGGTGAGTGGTGGTTTGGTCTTTGATGTCGTCATTTTCTGCAGTAACTCCAGTGAAGGCAAACTGGGACAGGTCTTCCACAGGGAGCACCTGTAGTTCCTCTGACGCAGGTTGCACTTCCTCCTGGAGCTCGTCATTCCCTTGGCTCAGGGATGTGGAGTCCTGGGACACATCAGGTACCTGCTGTTGGATTTCTGCAGGTGTCTGTTCCAGGACATTTTCAAAATGAATTTCTTGTGGAAATTCTGTTATTTCCTGAGGCTCTGGAGATATTTCTTCAGGTTCTAGCAGAGTCGTTTCCTCCTCTACCAGTTTGACCGAGCTACTCTGGGAAACAACTGGGGCAGCTTCAGCTGGTTTTCTTCTGGTGTATCCTCCAGAAGTCCACTCGTCACAGTGATGGTCTCTTCTGCTGGGCTGGTGACATCCTGTGCATGTGAGTGCTCTTCAGACACAGGGGTCACTGGTTTGATCTCCTCAGACTCAGGACGGGTGAGGAAGGCTCTCAGCTCGGTGTTGAGATGGGCCAGAATAGCTGCTTCTAAAGGTGCAGTATCTACTGCACAAACAGCTCTCAAGAGGGCGTGAGGGGAGTCATACTCCACTTCGATATTTTTGGCCGCTCTTTTGGCAATTTCTTCTAGGTCCTCAAGGCTGATATCAGCATCTCCATCAACAATGACGTGCTCCTGAATCTTTCTTTGAATCTCCTCAGCCATCAGACTGTGGTCCATGTTGACCACTTTTAAAGTGTGTTTGACACAAGCCTCTGTGAGGATGTGTGGTGCTCCATGTCCACAGGAGGGTGCAGGCGAGTCGATCATCTCCTCTGGTGGGACAGGATCTTCTGCTGGACTGACAGGGTCTACTGGGCTGGAAACTTCCTGCGAAGATGGAACCTGTGCAGGACTGGGCTCCTCTGGTGAATCTACTGAACCGTTTGTGGCGTCAGATTGTTCTCCTCTTTTAAAGCTTTCCTTCTTTGCTCTAAAAGCCCGCTGGAGTTCCAGCTTGTACAACTGCTGCTGCCGGACAACATGCTGCTGCAACTCATGTTCTTGGGCAGGGTGCATCTTTGGGTTGTGTTGTTCCATCAACTCCTTATACCCCATCATCTCCAGCATTTTGTGAGCTGCTCTGACCTTGGCTGCCTTCTTGTTGGAGGCCATTCCCTGGCAGGACATCTGGCCCACTCTTACCTCCACACAGAAGGTGGTGCTGTAGGCGTTGCGCTGCACAAACGAGACCACCCTGAATTCAGGAGCTCTCTGCCTCCTCACATCCAGTATTTCTGAGAGGGCGGTGATCGGATTCTTGTTATAAAAGTAGAATGGACGTTCCACAGGGGTCCACCAGATCTACGTGGGGTTTCTCCCAATATGGAGTCACATTCTGTGGCACTGGGAGCTGCTTCAGCTCCTCCACCACCTTTTGTTTTGTGGGTCCAAAGCCAAAACCAACATAGTTTCCCGCTCGTACTTCAGCGTGGAAGGTTCTTCTATGGGCTTGGCCGCCTACTTTTACCTCAAACTGGACGTGCAGATCGTGCAACGCAGCAAGATCATATAAACGCGTCAAGTCTGATTTGTAAACCTCCGTAGGTCTTTCTGCTTCCATCTTGTAGTTTGTAGTAGTCGCCATCGAGTTTTTTATTTGAGTAGTGAATCCGCCACCCACCCGAATTTAATTAAAATATTATTTTTCGTCACGTCATCCGCCCGACCCGCGGTTTAGCCGCGGAGTCCGCGGTTGTAACCGCAATCCGCGCATCTCTACTGGCTGACCCCAATTTGACCTATAAAAGAATCACAAATGAAACTTTTTGTGGCACAAAACGGCACAAACAAAGCACAAACAACAGACATAGTTTTTGTGTAGGTTTGTGTTTGCTGGGGGCTCACAGGTCGGACATCGCACGTGTTTCTCTTTATATCAATAGGTTTAATTGTTCCAAAATAAAAATTAAAATTAAAATGTGAATTTCTCCAGAATTATTGGTCCTATCAACACAAAATAAAAACTGTAGTGCTCTTTATGCCTGTCTGTTTTCAACAAGCTGGAAGAAGATCGAATTGAAAATTGAGATTGATCAATATGAGGGAAACAAATTGTAATTTTTTTTTCTTTCTCATATCGCCCAGCCCCCGAACTCCAGGTCTGTTTGTGATGAGGAAACAATATTATAACTTTGTTTTACTTTGCTCAAACAAATAAATAAAATAAATAAAAAATAAATGAACAACATAGATCAGGAAATAGAGTAATATGGGACCTTTAACCTCCTCAAATGGACAAACCCAGAATAGAATTGGTATGAGTGCGTTTCTGTAACAGGCATTGTTTTTGACCTTTTCATGTAAAGTTCTGTTTTCCAGGTTTTGTAAATATGATTTCTTTATTTTCCTGTTGATCTTTTTATTTTCTGTGCGTTGCAGTGCCTCTCTCCTGAGCCTCCTGTTCGAGCTCCTCAAAAGCTCTGTGTCCATGCAGGAGCAGATGTTGGGCGGGAAGGGCTTTCTGGTGATCGGGTATCTGCTGGAGAAGGTGAGATCCAAAGCTCTTGCAATGCTTGAACCTCATCCAAGACAAATGTTTATTTTATTATCACCAAAAATACTCAAAATATCATGAGATTTCCTATTTACATTAAAGAGAGGGTATGTTTTTATTTATTTACTGCTAACACATAACACATTCATAACACCTTTAGATCTCCATGTTGCCTTTTATTGTTTTGAAAATGCTCTATTTGCCGAAAACAATGTATTAATATGTTATGTAAGTTTAATTTTCATTTTTGATGCTCTGAGTCTCCCCTTCCTTTGCTCTCTGCACTAAGTCACCCCAAGCCTGCACATTGCATCAGATTTGTGAATTTGTTGCGTACAGTTGTTTTGTTTTTATATATTTATGGAGAATTGTCGTGTGGAAGCAATGAAGAAAATCTGACAACTACACGTAACTCGGAATTTACATCAGGAGCGTCAACAACACGTAACGTAAATCCGTGTATCATTCGTTCATTTGTTTTTCAAAATAAAACCAAAAATAAGAAAATGAAAAAAGAACTATTTTCTTCATTGTTTGTCTCCAAAACCAAAATGAAAAAAACGGATAATGATTCGTTTTTTCAGTTTCTGCGATGCCGGACTTTCTGCTTTCTGCGATGCCGAACTTTTGCGCCGTATACGGACTGAACCAGGACTGATCCAGGACTGAACCAGGACTGAACCAGGACTAAACTGGTCTCAGTCCCTATATGGTCCTGGTCTCACTCCTGGGCCCAGTCCCGGTCTGGTTCTGGTCTCAGTCTTGGTCTCAGTTGTGATCACCCGACAGTCTACACGGGTGCACCTCCGGGCCCATCCTGACACTCAGTCCTGGTTGATTCCTGGTTTAGTTGTGGTGTAGTCCTGTTTTAGTCCTGGTTCATTCCGGCATCGCACTGTACGTCACGGGAAACGGCCGTTATCTTTTTTTTCCATTTTTCATTTAAACACAAAATCGAAAAAAATGAAAAAAACAAATAATTTTCCTTTTTTTTTAATTTTGGTTTTGGAGACAAATAATGAAGAAAATAGCTGTTTTTTTAGCTGATGGTTTTTGAAAAACAAATGAACGAATGATACACGAATTAATGTAGGCAGAGCTGCTTACATGGGTACTTTTAAAATCTTCAATTTACACCAGAGGCAAGCAGAGTAAACACTAAACTTTTTACATTGCTTAAGTATTCATTGTTGATTGGATGATTAACGTTTTAAATCACAATACAAAAGTTGACAACAAGAGAGCCAGTGCTTTGCAGCGATAACGAGCCGTATCTGTGGTGCGGCATTAATTAAGCCACTCACCATTTCACTTTGGTCGTCTGCACGTCGTTTCCTTCAGAAGTTGTTCTTGTAAAGTTTCTGTCTGATGTCGTAAAGTGTTTTATATTTATCCTCCGCGGCTGTAAACTTTCCGTAGTCCATCACGAGTCATTCCCCGAGCTCCTGGATGCGACAGCGTTTACGCGACTGTAGTGGTTTTCGAGAACGTGCTTTGAGTGGGCATCGGAAGTTTATTTCGATGCCGTGTGCCTATTTTCTGTCTTTCCCCTGATAAAAATCCTGGAGACGCTCTGTTGAGACGCTGCAAAATTAGAACTTTATCCTAATTTGAGCAGTGCGTAGAAGGGATGGGCATTCGATTAAATTTTCTTAATCGATCGTCTTAAGAATTAACGATTATCGATTAATCATTAACGATTTTAATATTAAAATTTATCATCATTATTATTACTATCTGCACTGCTAATCTGCATAAATAAATTCAACTTTACAACATATAAACCGTAACCACTCTAGCGCCACATCAGCCCGTTTGACATTATAATGTGTTTAATTCAGTTTTGCGCAACTCTCACAGAAACGAAACTTAAAACCGCATCACTAATTTACATAAACTAAGTGAAGATAAAACTACAGCTCTTGTGCGCTGATGCGACACGACTCAGTGGAATACAGGTTAGTGTGACCATATTTGCGTTTGTCAAAACCAGGACACCGTACGGGGGGAGGGAGGTGGGGACTCGTCATCGACATTGCGCGACTCTCACCTGGCAACGCTTTTTCCCACTGGAGACTGAAACATATGTGCTGCTTTGTACACTGTGCACATGGCCTCACACTTGTCCCGAACGCAACAGAAAGCGTGGAATTTCTTGTACAATACGCATTTGTGCTTCGGTAAGTTGCAGACTGACCGACTGTTTGTGTCTCGCTCCTTCTGATGCAGAGAGACACATGTACACACCTGTTTGGTCACGCTACGCACAGCAACCTACATTTGGTTTGTCGATTAAAATGAACGGAATCGATGAAATTCTTAATGATCAATTATCGATTAATCGACTAATCATGCCCATCCCTAGTGTGTAGCGTCATGACGGCTGTTGGACGCACGTATGACACTGCTGGTGTTAAATTGCCCAACCGGTTAACATGGAAAGTGAAACATGCAAGGAGGTTTCGAAGTAGCCAGGCTGGTGCTACCTAGCGCCTCCGCTCAATTTCGTTTCTCTCCAGCGACTAGGTCAGGAATCAGGATACAATAGATGGTTTGCAAGAATCTCGGAAGTTGTAAACCGCGCACCGGCCAATCAGTGAAGAGCTGTGAAGCCATGACGTCAAACTCAAGCGCCTGTCTGGGTCCCAACAGTAAACAAAGCAGAGAACACCGCGACGGGAGTGTCGTCTGAGCGATAGGTCCATCAGCTACACGCGACGAAGACAACAGATATACGACATGTCACCACCAACACCGGTGACAGTGAAGATGGCATGCAGCTAGCAGCCGAAACATGTCAACAAGGTAAACACCCTTTACTGCATTGTCTTTAAAAAGAACCCAAGAAGTTAAAGTAAACAAAGCGGTCGAGATAGATGTAGACGAAGACAGACATTCTGTGTTGGCAACGATTCCCGAGATCGAGGATTTAAAGTTGGAACAAAGTGAATGTTAGGTTGAATTTTATCAAAGGAAAGACGTTATTGCCCTTCTTCCTATGGGATTTGGCGCATTACGTACGTCACGGCCAAATAGCAGCGATCGGTTAAATAAAAAATAGTACCTGACTACCGTTGAGCGAATGAATCTGTCACGGGTTCGTCCGAAATAATTGTAAAAAATGATGGCTCAGTCGAAAAACGTCACTTAAGTGGGTTTTTATTCACACCACAGCTCCAAGTGCAGAGTGGAATATTTACAGTGACAAAAAAATGCGGTGGTAGAGTCCAACAAAAGAAGTATTTACAACAATATTTACAATAATCACACTTACAGTAGCCAGCACCCACGTAGTCAGGCCAAAAACAGACTCCCAAATGACTGGAGCTCCTTCCTTTTATACCCCTTAGCCCCTCCCCCCGGGCTAACCAATTAACAAAAAATGGGGTTTTAAAGGAGTTAACATAAGCAAACTGTATTGATGAACACAAATCAACTTGGATATAAACATAACTAGAAAAGCACTCAGAGAGCGCAGACCTCCGCCAAGGACTACCCCCATTTTTTAAATACATTGCGATAAAATCAGTCTTCTGGATCAGATCTGGATCAGCCTTTGGAATATGAAAGAGGATCCCATTGTCCATCCCTGAGTCAAATTTCATGGGGTTTGGTCAATAATTAACCGAGATATTGAGAAACAAAATTTTTGGCCCCATTTACCACAATGTTAACTAAAATTTCAAAGTGATCCAGAATCCAGGATTTCGTCCGGATCACCCCCAAAATGAAATCAGTTCTTCCTTTTCACATTTCCAACAAATCCTGAAAATTTTATCAAAATCGGTTCATAACTTTTTGAGTTATGTTGCTAACAGACAAACAAACAAACAGACAAACGCCAGCAAAAACATAACCTCCTTGGCGGAGGTAATAAAAATAACTTAAAGAACTCCTCATACGGTTAACCTAAATTCCATTAAATAACTTAAAAACCCAAAACGATACCCCAAATAGACCACAATGGTCGAGTCCACGATCACATGTCCCCCCTTCGACGCGCCACTATACTCTATTTAAAGCACGACCAGGAAGTGCCTCAGTTTGGCCCCCGAACCAGAGAACGGCGCGGGGGCTGCTGTTGGTAAATGTCCGTGGGCGTCGGCGTCGAGTGCGCACCCTCGAACGCACTAGCCGGGAAACCGTCCAGATGTTGGGGAAAACAGTGTAGAAACAGTCTATCAGAGCTTCGTTCTGCAAAACCGGGGAGGGGGGAGCACTCCGCACGCTCTTGGGCCAGACGAAGACACTTCGGTCGGGCGATGACGGGGCAACACGGGCGCTCCGTCACAGAATCCTAATGCTGCGGGGTGACTCAGGCTAGTTTCAAATAGTACCTGGGAGAGAGTAGCTCAGTTGGTAGAGCATTCGCCCACTGATCTGAAGGTTGGCGGTTCGAATCCAGCTTTCGACATAAACATCACAGGTTGAGCGGTCAGATCCACTGACCCACAGGTTGGCTGGTGTGATTCAAGCTCCCCATGTTGTTGTGTCCTTGGACAAGACGCTTAACCCACCTTGCCCACAGTGTCTGCGTACACTGGTGTGTGAATGGGTGAGAGGTTCCTTGTTGTAAAGTGCTTTGAGGTGGAAAAGCGCTATAGAAAAATGTGACCATTTACCATCGCTAAATTACTCAAACATGCATGGATGACATCTAAAATCTCTCCAGGCATGTTTTTGATCAGGGAACAACATTATAATATGATAGAAAGCTCAAAGAAAAAAAGTCATCTTTGCATAATAACCACTCTTTAATACATTCATACACCCTGAACACAGATTGTGAAGAAATATCTGTCTGCATTTTTATATTCCGCAAACCAGAAAGTAACAGTGGTGCGCTATTAGCTTGCTTACAAGTTGCTGTTAGACTTAAACTTAGAAAAACTTTATTAATCCACAAGGGAAATTACTTGGACACAGTAGCTCACGCCTCCCAATATATTATAACAACAAAGAGAAAAATATAAACGGTAATAATAACTTCAAAA